ATTAATAGCTAACGTTACAGTTATTTCAGTTGCTTTTGGCTTTGGCTGCATTACCCTATTATTAGGGGCCAAGCACCGAAGGTGCGGAGGCACCTATTGTATCTGTTCCGTTTCCTATTATTATTATTCTTCTTCCGTTTCCGACTGGGCGTCTATGGCAGCCCATAGACTGGTTTGCGGGAAAGTTGTTTTGGTTTGACATTCTGATAGAGGACAGTCCCAACATTAAAGACACCAATTTTGGTGTCTCTAACTCATTCCCTCTAGCGCCACCAACTGTCCAAAGTTTCACTTTTATTATGCTAATAACTTTTGAACCGTAAGGCCTATCAACAAAATTCTTTTTTTCCTCTTGTTCCTGAGCTCATGCCGATTCGATCGCAACCTATGACGTCATTTTCCGTCATAAAAAAATGCCCGCCATTTTGAATTTTCCAAAAAACCTACTTTTGCGAACTCGTCCTAGACGGTTTGTCCAATTTTTACCAAAATCGCACCGGATCATCTCCAGGCAGTGCTGACAAAAAGTTATGGAATTCATGATGATTCGAATAACCGTTTTCGATAAGCGCGCAAACTAATTTTACGTAGCGCTTGCGAAAACAGACGTGAGGCTGTATCTCCGCAACGCTTACTCGTTTTCAGACCAAACTTGGTAAGTGTCATCACAAGCATGACCTGAGGCTACATGCTGCGTTTCGGCGCAGCGCCACCTAGTGGTTCGGAGATATGAAAAATGGCTATTTTTGCTCGTAACTTCTGAACGGTTACTCCAAAAATCAAAAACTTGGTCTCGTTAGATTCAGGGCGTCATGCCGAGTTGACCGATATCCAATTTTCCCAGATCGGCCATTTTGCCTGTCGGCCATTTTGAATTATGTGCTAAAATGCTGTATTTTTTGAACGCATGAACGAATTGTTACGAAACTCGGTATGGGTCATCAGTACGATGCCCTGAAGGAGCCTGAGAAGTTTCGAAACAGCGCCACCTAGTGGTGAATTTTTTTTTCAAACGCTTATAACTTTGGGTGTGGTGCACTTATTTTCATGGGAGTCATCTTTTTGAGATCCTGAATCGTTGCCGAGTCCAACGATACTAAACATGCTGGGTTTTGTGTTACGGTTGGTGTAGCGTAGCGATTTAGCGCGAAAAAAACACTTGGCGATATCTTCAAAACCGCTGTTCCGATCGAGACGAAACCACCGTCAGAAACACGGAATCATAGCTCGTTAACTAAACGCTAATGTCCAAATGTGGAAATATTGATAGTAAGGGGTAGTAAAATTCAAACAAAGTCATGTGTCAGTCATTTTTTACGTGTTTTTTCATATAAATGTTTATAACTCGGAAGCGAATTGAGATATTTGCACCAAAATTGACACACATATGTATGGCGTCACTCTGAGGACACATACAAAAAATTGTGGGATTGGGCCTCTTGGTGGCGCTATAATAGAACAAAACGTGAAATTCCCATTGACTTCAATACAGTTTTGTGAAATACAATGCTATACTAAACAAATGCTTTGGTCTAACATTACGAAACTAAGTGTGTGCCATAAGCAGCATGCCCTGAAGGTACTCAAAAGATTTTGAGACAGCGCCACCTGTTGGTCAAAAGTTATAATTAATTTCTGAGAACGCTAATAACTTTTGAACAAATTTGCCTATTGCAATGAAACTGATCTTAATAGATTGCTTGGGTTATGCCGAAAACATAGATATCAGGTTTTGCATAATCAGCCAAACTTCCTGTCCGCCATCTTTATTTCTTTGAAAAACCTTCTTTTTCGAACTCCTCCTAGACCGTTTGTCCGATTTTCACGAAAATTGAATCGTATCATCTCCAGACCGTGCTGACTTAAAGTTATGAATTGCACGATGATAGACAAAACCGTTTTCGTATACTACAGCATCAAAGTTTAGGCATGCTGCCAAAATTACTATTTAGGCTTTATCTCTGCAATGCCTTCACATTTTGACGCCAAACTTTGCATGTGTCATTGTCACCTCACTCTGACCACATCACATCTATTTCGTAACTGCGCCACCTATTGTTCGAAAGTGATAACCCATTAAATCATCTTATAAGTTAATGTTTATGTGATTTTCTTAGCCATTTGCCCAAAGTTCTCTCAAAATGCCCTTAATTGCTCCTTGCTGCAGTTGGTCTGCCACTCCTTGCCATTTTGGGATATGTTGCCGCTTCTTGCGCTTGGCCCCGGTAATGGCTGCTTGCAGCTATATTTTATGTTATTTTTACAAATGTAATTAAAATTTTCGCAAGTACTTGATGTTTTGGGATATTTAACATGACATTTTAATTATATAATTATGAAATGACCGAAATGAACGAAATGACTCGATAAAAGATTCGTTCATTTTACTGAACGAGACTCAAAGATCCGAATCAGTAAAATGATCCGAACTTCCCATCACTACCAGCTAGTAAAAGCTAACTCACTACCTCACTGCTCTCAGGAGGCACACTAGTGACTGACGTTAGTCTATAGCGTAGTCTATAGCGTCCTTGTTAGTGCCATGTGTGAACTTTTTTTTTTTTTTTTGCAGGGGTAGGCTAAGATCACTAAGAAATCATATTCAAACATGTTTCTAATAGTTTGAATTCTTAAAAACTGTTGCTAGGCATTTAACATTTTTGCTACATTTCCTTTTGCTAGCATTTTTCTAGCATGTCTAACATGTTTCTAACATCTTTTGGAAAGCTAATAACATATGCCCTGTTTTAGCATGTTGCAAGCACAATGCTAGCATGCATTAAAGGGCACCTATTATGGAAAATTCACTTTTACATGGTGTTTGAACATAAATGTGTGTTGGCAGTGTGTGAGCGAAACCACCCTAGAATGATAAAAATCCACCTAGTGTTTTTTTACAATCTCAATAAATCATATGCACTGCCTCAGAACGAGCTGTTCTGAGATCCAGCTCTTTGTGACGTAGAAAGTGAGAAAGGGGTTTGATTGACAGTGTGGTTGTGGCATAGACCCCGCCCTCGGTGATCTGTACATCCTCCATTATTTCAACGACAGCCGGTAATGTCTCTTGGAACCATAAATGTTCTGTTGTGGACTCGTGGGTTAATCCTGTTGTTGTAGCTTAAAAGTTAATCCTCAACTGTGGATCGTCATCTACTGTTTGCGATCCCCCGTCACATCCAGTAACAGTAAGTGCATTTTATGATTTTTGAGCAAATAGTCTTTTCAGTCAATGTCAGCCAATTCAACAACAAATGCGTCTAAAGTTGTTGTCGTCATAGGGTGTCTGTGTAGGCTATTTAATTTAAACCTTGTTTGTATAGTGTGTAACCACACGTTTATATATATTTAAAGATATTGTATTAAAAACTGGATATATGTTGTTGTTCTGTAAGTTAGCCATCTCCTCACATTTGCCACAGAAGCACCTGTATGACAAGTAAACATGACGCCACAGGTCCCTCACATAAATGTAATTTCGCTTGTAGTAGCAAACTTCACAGTATGTGTATGTAATTTCAGAAAAATTGCGCCAGCATTAGTGTTTGTGTGTGTCTGTGTGTGCGTGTTGCACATGCCCATCATTTCAAAGGGAAATGATGAAGACGAATGAAAAGACGAATTACAACGCTATAAGTACATAAATGTATCAAATAACCAAACCGAAACGTACTGGTCCATTCTCATTTGTGTTTATTCTGCCGGAGTCTCTTCGTACTATTTATATATTCCGATTCAAACGTACGCTGAATGACATTCAAAACAGCGGTTTCTCTCAGTCTCTCAGTACCGACTGCCATTGGTATCAAGTTACGCCCTCATCCAAAGGCAGGGCGGGCATATGCAGCTCATTTGCATTTAAATCCGTATACCCCCGAAATAGCTCATTTTTAAGCAGGCCCCAAAATGACATTTTCAAATGGTTATAATAAATTAACTGTGAGGTATTTTGAGCTGAAACTTCACAAATACATTCTAGGGACACCAGAGACCAATATTACATCTTGTAAAAAGGGGCATAATAGGTGCCCTTTAACACAGTGTTTACATGTGTTATGCTAAGCATTACTAACACATTGTAACAGCATTTTAAAACATTTCTAGCTATTTTTAGTTTGATGTTAACAAGTTTTGACATTTTGATAGCATGTTTTAACTCATAGAGTATGTTATAATGCTAAGAATTTCTAATATATTGTAACATCTGTAGTGAAGTTTTTTATTCTTCCACGCAACAGACCAGGAGACTCTTGAGGTATCTTTCACGCAGACGTTCTTTATTGCGTAGCTGTAGTCATCTCAAGGATAGTCTAACTAAGGGAAAACATTCCCTTACAATTTATACATTTAGAGGGGAGGAGTTTACATTAAGGGGGGGAGAAACTGAAACAAAAGCAATGTAAATGATTCAACAGGCATCTCAGTTCATCAGCATAGCAGGTTTATGTGCCCTGAGATGCTAATCTGGAGGAGTTATATTGAGGAGGAGTCTCTTGAAACAAAGCAAATGTAAATGATTCAGCAGATTACCAGAGACACTAATCTAATCAGTCTGACCAGCGTGGTCACACTTTTACCATTACAAAAGCAAAGCTGAATCTTGAACTTAATGGCCAGGAAGCGCATAAAGACAAAAGCTAATGTGTGACACCTGGAATGCTTGGCTTAATCTTATTGGCCTCAAAATGGTAAACACTGTATACATTTTACAGTTGAAAATACTGTTAAACCTTAATGAAACATTTAATAAATTTGTATTCCTTCAGTCCCCCCTTTTGAGAGTATTAATAACTCTCACATTATGTACAAATTTAAACACTTAAGAAAGTTCATTCATGTAACTTGTGCTAGTTACAGGCACATACTTATGTTCTGTGTTTGCTTTTTCTGTAATTACATGCTGACACAGAAAACAAACATGTAATTAGGGTCCGTGAAGCTCTTACGGAAAAATTAAACTTCAGTTACATCTGGCGTAATTTTTTTTTTGAAAGATCAAGACTGTTTAACCATCATGCTTGTGCACAAGAGAGTCAATGCAGCCATCTTCGGCTGTGGCCTGCAAGGTTTCCAGCAAAAACGAGGATTGTGGAGTCTTCACTTTGTGCGATGTCCTGGTGGTTACTACATCTTGATAATGTTGATGGATGACTGAAGGTTCCGTAAGTCTTTTCTCTGCGTTGTGTATTTTTTCTTCTTTACTTTGGTGATAGTTGGCTCGGCAGTGGGTCTCATTGTTCTCTGGAAGTGGTGGCTTCATACGCAGGTGAAGACGTCTGTGCGTATGGGTCTCGGGACAGCCATCAAGTGGTATCTGCATACAGGAAGACAAAAGACAGGAGAGCAGTATTGGTTCAAACACTATGGTTGTAAACTTTTCAGAGTCTGCTATTGTTGTTCTGCTATGGTTATTCCTTCTTTCCCTGTTTCTTATTTTCAGACACCTAAAGAAACACAGTGAGGTGGGGATGGACTAAATGGATGGGGAAAGCCTATGAGGGAATCTTCGCCCAAGGGGTGACCCCCGACGCATATGGCATTTCGGTTCTTCCCTTGGGTTCCTCACTTGTTCGTGTCCTATCCTACCCCTGTGGGTGGCAGAACTTTGCAGAACCCTTTTCAATGTGACAAATGAGACCAAGTGTTTCTTCCTTGACACAATACTGCCCGATCAACATCCCTTGCTGGGGCACATGCCACTTAGGCTCTAATGGCTTGACCTGTCCTGTGACATGTGTACTTTGATCTACATAACCCAATCATGAGTTATTTCTCCTTCATCCTCTAACAAAACATCAGTCGTTGTAGACATCATACGTGAGAATGGGTGAGGATAGTTAAATCAATTTCCCCAATGGGAAAAGGTGACAAAATTGACTTTTGATTCATTCATTAGTGCTAATACTGCCTGTGGGTATTTACAGTCTGACCTAACACTACTATTGATGAAAGGCCTGTGCTGTAGAATAACATTTAAGGCTGTGAGTTTACTTAAAGCAGTCCCCCAAAGGAAAAGCTGAGACAGTTACTTTCCTTTTGTTCCGTTAAACAAACATAAGTTTTTTATCTCTGTTGTAAGTTACTGGGGAAATTAAGCACTCACAGTCCAAATGGTTAACACGTCAACAAGCTGCCCCACCCGTTTAAAGACGTGGGGAATGGCGGCTTCAGAGTAGCAAGCAAACTGAGAAGTTGGGCAAAAAGGTTGACTTCTTTAAATCTCTTTCTGCTTTTTCTACACTCTCTACTCCAATGTCCCGGCTGACCACAGTAATAACACCTGCCCTCTCTCTTAGGACATTTACGTTTCTGTGGGTTTTCTGTGCTGACCTTAAAAGAGGCTGCTGCAATTTGTACTCTTGCCTTAACATCAAAATCTCTTTCCCAAGCAGTTAACCTGTCCAGGTTACTTCTAAGAGTTCTGTGAGACCAAGTCAGATCCAAAAATGGCAAAGCACTTCTGTAGTCAGCTATAAGGCCATCTGACCAGATGCGGACCAGTGGTCCTTTGTCATTGAGTACACTTTCAGAATCATCCACTATTCCACTGTACGTTACAGCTGACTGACAAAACCTCTCAGTATATTCATTAACCGTTTCTTCTTTCTTTTGTACACAGTTAGTAATTCTAGACCAATCTATCTTGGGTCCTAGGATATTCTTTAGGATTTTCAGAACACCTTCTCTCAATTCATCTTTTCCGGCATGCTGCAGTTCAGAGGTAACAGCAGACTCAAAACTGTTGAATTCAGATTCAGTTAGAATTTGAGACATTAACTGTGTGACTTCTGTTAACGACATGTCGTAGAGACGCATTTTGCTGACCAATGCTCTTCTAAATTCAGTGAACTGTGTGCGTGCTGGCGGTAAACTCTGTGACAATCTCTCTATGTCTCTAGGTCCAAGCGTTGTAGCAACAGTTTGGATTTGAACAACAGAAGCACTGGAAGGAACACTTTCTGACTGTTCAATTCCCTGCTGTCTTTTTCTAGCAGCACACACCTTCACTGAATTTACATGCTTATCTGTTTCTGATGGGATGTCTACATCTCTTTCAAACAATGCTTGTAAGTCAGGAAAAGTTTCATCTGACTGTTGGTCTTCAGTGTTACATTTGGCTGAGGCCTGGTTATGGCCCACCTTTGTCTTGAAACAGGACAATTGAGTCTGCAATTGTTTGTTCTGTTCATTTAACTTAGCAATACACCTAGTTTGCTCTTGTGTAATGGATAAACTGTATTCTTTGTAACAACAGATAATGGCTTTCACATTGTTCTTGCGAATACTTGCTCCAAGCACTTTTTTACAATCTTCCATCGACCATACTTTTTCTGGGTGAATGCCAAATTTCTTTGTCAAGTTCAATCTGACTGACTGAGTCACTATGGAGTCAATGTGTTTTCCTATCTGACCACAATGGAGCGGCAAGGCCACTTTTCTCAGTTGTAGGAACCAACCTAGCATTCGTCACAACCATTTTGTGAGTTTCTTTGTTATCACACAAAACAACTAACTTTCTCTGATCAACAGAGGCTACCCTTGTTTACACAGATCGACTGTTGTAAACCTTCTTTGACAGAGCAAAAGAAAATCCACAATATTACTAGCACTTTATGCTAATACTTCCCTGTTTGTACAGAGGTTCAAACTTTCATCTCTAAAGTAAATTTTTAGAGGGTAACCCCACAAAACTACAACACAAACTATTAGCATGTTACGCTAATCTTCCCTGAAAGAAAATGGAAAGGATCTTTCACCTTCCTAACTTTTAGAGGATAAGACCACAATAACTAGCACAAAAATGCTAATCCTTCTCTGTGAACAGAGGTTATCACCAAATATTAACACGTAATGTTAATCTTCCCTAAGTTTAGAGGATACCTTCTCTAGCAACGTAGAGGCACTATTCCGTTCTGACTTCTGACTTATTCAGAGGACATCTTACAACTTCCCTGACTTATTCAGAGGATCCCAAAATATTAACATTTAATGTCAATCTTCCCTGCCTGACAACAGAGGATATCTATCATTTTAAAAAGACAACTTTTAAAGGATAACTTTAGTTAATCAAACACTACAGCAGCTGTCTGATAACTCTCTGACGGCGCAGAGGCACAACTTTGGTACTGGTCTGGTTCTTTGAATAGAGTGAAAACTCACCGAATCGTTGCTTGTATGAAAAGATTCAGTCTGGACCTCAGTCAGAAAAGTTCTTTTTGTTCTTGTTCTGGAACTCAGTCCGCATTGAGATCTTGTTCTGCTTGAAGTTTTCAAGATTCAGTTGAGATTCTCTGTTGAAATCTTTTGTTGCTTGAAGTTTAAGTTTCTGGATTCAGGTAAGATTTCTCTATCCGGGTCACGGCACCATCTGTAGTGAAGTTTTTTATTCTTCCACGCAACAGACCAGGAGACTCTTGAGGTATCTTTCACGCAAACGTTCTTTATTGCGTAGCTGTAGTCATCTCAAGGATAGTCTAACTAAGGGAAAACATTCCCTTACAATTTATACATTTAGAGGGGAGGAGTTTACATTAAGGGGGGGAGAAATTGAAACAAAAGCAATGTAAATGATTCAACAGGCATCTCAGTTCATCAGCATAGCAGGTTTCTGTGCCCTGAGATGCTAATCTGGAGGAGTTATATTGAGGAGGAGTCTCTTGAAACAAAGCAAATGTAAATGATTCAGCAGATTACCAGAGACGCTAATCTAATCAGTCTGACCAGCGTGGTCACACTTTTACCATTACAAAAGCAAAGCTGAATCTTGAACTTAATGGCCAGGAAGCGCATAAAGACAAAAGCTAATGTGTGACACCTGGAATGCTTGGCTTAATCTTATTGGCCTCAAAATGGTAAACACTGTATACATTTTACAGTTGAAAATACTGTTAAACCTTAATGAAACATTTAATAAATTTGTATTCCTTCACATCTTTCTAACATACTTGACAGCATGTTTTAAAGCCACAATATGTATTTTTTCTGCTTTAAAAATAGCAAAAATATCTGTATCTATGTTACATATTTCTATTAGATGTGTACTTACATTATTCCGACAGTTTCCACCAACTTTAAAATACGGAGAAATTTATAGTTTAATTCGAAGACACGGGACGTTTCTGTATTTCCGTTTCGTCGCCCGTCTATGGCGTCATATAACCTTTGACTCCTCTATTTTCTCTAACTTCCTGCGGAACCCGCCAAACACAAAGGGGAACACTGGACTACCGCCAATAAAGCAAAGAAAATGACGAAGAAAAAAAAGTTGTATGTATTTTTATGTGTGTAAATCACGTGCCCGCTCACGAGCGCTCATTCTTAACAGACACACTGTCCCCGGTGCTGCTCGCGCGTCACAGAATTCATAAAGCGCTCCCCGTTCACAGTAACCGGGTCGTCTCATTCAAATCAGCCAGCTGCTGCTGCAGCGAGCCGCGCACATTGAATACTCTATACTATGAGTCAGGCTGCGAATGTAAGTTACGTGCCCGCTCCAGCGCGCTCATGCTTACTAAATAAATGGCTCACCTCCGGCGCTGCGCACTCACTACATTCCCTTTAGCCTTAGCACATAGTGGATGCATAAAGCAAACCCAGTCAAACGTTTGACTGCAGTATCTTATGTGCCTTATAATCCGGTGTGCCCTATATATGAAAAATGTTCTAGGTCATTCATTGAAGGTGCGTAATATAAATATTTATATTCGTCTGTATCATAGTTATGGACCACGATTATGCTTTGCCTGCACGTTCTGCTGCCAGCTCAGTAAAGCTCAAACGTACGGGTGAAAAATACGACCCGAGAAGGGTTTGGGACAGGAGAAGCATGACAGAGGTAAACATTGGGGTTGCATTTAAAGCTTCTTGACAAGCTAAATCTACAGAGAGATGCCGTATATACGTATGAAGAGTTCAGATGCAAAAGCCTCTAAGTGCCATTTGAAATTTTCTTCTAGAATGATCATTTTTATCAAGCTTGTATATTTAAGTTCAGTGAATTCACTTAAATGGCAATGATAATTACCTATTAATTGTTATTTAAGTGAAATTACTGAACTTAAATATACAAGTTTGACAAAAATCATCATTAAAGAAGAAAATTTCAAATGGCATTCAGAGGCTTTTGCATCTGAACTCTTCGTATATTTTCTGAAACGATGATGTCATGTCATGAGCTGAGCTGGTTGTCATTGACAGCGACAACAACTCCCGTGAGCCCACGCTCTTTCCCGACGTCATCAAAGTACATCTTTTGTTATTATTTTAAATGAGTGACCCCTGGTGGACAAAAATTGCATACTGTACGTTTAACACACACATACAGATCACATCAATAAAACGAACTAAACGCTAACGTCAAACTCATGAATTGCCCTGAAAATCTGAACATAATTACTACAGACAGTAAGACAGAAGTGGCATAATTGAGCAAAAGCAGACATTGTTGTGTCTAAAATATAACACAACATTGATGTCATTAACTTCTTATTTATTGAACTGTTGTATAAAATCAATATCACATCACACACATCACATCAGTAAAACAAACTAAACTCTGAAAAGTCACTCTCACTGACTCCCAAATTCACTGAAATGCTGAATGCAAGCTGATTACTACAGACAGGAAGATAGAAGCGGCGTTAGGAGATTCACATTACCCAGAAACACCCTCGAACAGTTCCTCTCAGAGTTGAACGAGACCCACAGGCTCATGGCAAAATATTCTGATGCTTCTCGCTGATGTTTGCTTCAGTTTATGAGTGTTAGGCTCATATTATGAGGAACTATGTCAGAGTCTAGCTCTGTCAGTCTTTTTTTCTTTTGCTTGAGCACATGGCTCTGTCTTTGTGTTGGCCATGTGCTCCTCTCATCCCACTTTCTTGTTTCCCTTTACAATACTCCCTTGTTTAGACCTTGGCCGTTTCTCAATATGCATTCTTGCCTGTACTTTTGGTCTTGTGGACTTGTGAAACATCATCAGTCACTGCCCAAGTACTGTTCCAATTCAAAGTTCACATCTACTGTAGGTAAGTCCAGTTCAAATCCCTGGATGTGTTCTTGATCTGCCCCATTTACCAAGGATGCATCGAGAGGTGACATGTGCAGACTTGAGACAGCCAGGTATCCCAGAATGCAGGGATGTGCACAGAAATTTTGAGGGGCAGTTGCTCTGACCTGAAAAAAGGTCACAAAAAAGGCTATATGAAGGACTAAGTGTCTGCTGACAGAGCAGCTGAATGTATGGAAAGCGAAAAAGTGCCAAAAGCATTGGCGCAACATTTAATTGTCTTGGTACACTGCAGCCAGCTTGTGCCTGAACACGTTCATATTTTGGGCGAACGTGAACTGAACGTATTGTATTACTGCCTAATGAACGTTACTGTGAACGTGTTCATTCTGGTGTCTGTGAACCCACACTCTCTCATTTCATTTCATTTAATTTAGTTTATTTATATAGCACAAATAAACACAACAGAAGTTGACCACTGTGCTGTACATAGAAAAAGAATAAAAATATAAAGACACAACATCACAAAACTAACAAGCAATAAAACACTACGTTTGCATTCTTTATGGGTTAAGAGTGAAATGCGCGGTTAAAAAGATATGACTGCAGTTTGGATTTAAATTCATACATAGATGTGGCAGATCTCACAGATAAGGGAAGGCTGTTCCATAGCCTAGGACCAGCCACTGAGAAGGCACGATCACCTCGCAACTTCAGTCTGGATTTTGGGTGTACAAGTGTGATACTGTCGGAAGAGCGCAAGCATCTTGCTGAGTGTTTCACGTTAACAAGGTCTGACAGATAAGGCGGAGCCTGACCAATCAGTGCCTTAAAAACAAATATTAAAATTTTATATTCCACTCTAAAATGTACTGGCAACCAGTTGAGAGACATTAATATCGGGCTGATATGTTCTCGTCTACGCGCTCCAGTTAGAAACCTGGCAGCGGCATTTTGGACCATCTGAAGCCGCAACATGGATGACGTAGGTAAACCAACATACAGTGAGTTACAATAGTCCAAACGAGATAAAACAAATGCATGAGTTACAGTTTTAAGATGGTTGAAAGATAAAAAAGGTTTAACTTTGGATAAAAGTTTAAGGTGGAAAAAACAAGACTTGACCACCGAATTAATATGTTTGTCAAACTTGAGGGATGCATCAAAAATAACTCCTAAATTTCTCACAGTAGGACTCTCAGTTTGACTTCATACACTAGGATGCCAGATTTTTATAGAGCCTTCCTGGCAAAAACCCGGCTAAAACACACGTAACAGGCCTTAATGTGTAGCGAAAAAACCCCAGTCTGACAACACCAGACACCAGTGTCGCACCGCGGCCGCCGTTGACAAAGCAGCGAGCGAGGAGGAGTCATATGATCATTTAAATGGATTTTATGACAAGGTCGGTGAGGATGGGAAAAAAATCATACATTTCTGTGCAAACCCGTCGATAAAATAATTGTTGTCTGTGGTTGTATATGGGCTGTGGCAATAATAAAAATTAAAAAAGCTCACAACATATGGAAAAAAAGAACTATGAATGAATAATTGCTTTAAGAGTGTTTGCTCATCTGCAATACGTCTATAGGACGTTTCCTGTCAGATGTCAAATAAACGTTTAGAAGATGTCAGTTTAACATGCATTCTAAATCATTACATCTTACAGACATCTTCTAAACGTCTATTTGACATCTGACAGAAACGTCCTATAGGCGTATTGCAGATGAGCAAACACTCTTAAAAATACCTCTTCCAGATGTAAAAATCACATCAAATAGACTCGTGCTATCTGGGGCGCCTGGATGACGGCCGCTGTCAGTGGTACTTCCGCCTGTTCCGCACCCAGTTTAATGACCTGTTGTATCCCGTATCGGAGCAAGGATCACCCTCACCCTCATCCAACTAATCTGTCATTTATTTTGGTTTTGATGATAAATAGAGTCAGCCTCCAAAAGTTATAACCTGTCGTGTGATTTTTTTCTCTCCCAGACACAAACTTATGCACATGTATGTTGGTTGTCTTTACATTATAATAATATTTCATATAATCTAGATATGGAATAAATAGCATTCAATTCAAAATGAACATGTCTCGTATATTGAAATAAAGTTTTAAGTGATAAAATATTTGCTTTGTTGTGCATTAGAACACGCCAGGCATTTAGTAACACTTTATTTGGTTAGTCAATCTGTAGATGCTCTACAGAGTATCAACAGA